TCTTCTACTATAGAGACAAAGAGTTCTAACAAACAGCACCTTTATTAAAATACCCGATAATTTGTCAGAAACTGTTGGGTATCAGTCTTACGAAATTCTTAAAGAAAATTAATTCTTTACTTTGATGCAGATAGCAGTTGAATCAAAAATGTATATATCACAAAACCCTTCTTCTTATTTGATATAACCAAATTATTAGGAGGAGCAATATCATCTTATAATAAGAGCAAATATGTAATGCTATGCATCTATTGGTGATTTACGGTGGAGTTTGACATACGGATTTTCACTTTAACTAAACCCAACCTTTATTGGGTTTACAATTTTGTATAAAATATATTTAAAAAAATGACAATTTTATTTTATGTAAAATATTTTCAAAATTCCTTTGTAACTTAAAGCTTGAATAAAGTTTCTACTAAGTGATCCTGATGATGACTCAAGGAGAGCCGAAATATGAAATATATTAAAAAGTATTAAACAAACATTGGATTATCTAACAAAAAGTGACCTATGGTAGTCGGATAAAAAATATATAAAAACCATCATAAAAAACATGTCGATAAATATATTCAAAATTTTATTCCTTTGAAACTTTTTATGTTTTTATTCCATCAGTTTTTGTACCAGAAAGAGAGAAAATTAGTGATAAATATAATAATTTAGAAAAATGATCATTTAATTTTACGTAAAATTATTTTAAAATTATTTAAAAGTTTTTTATATTTTTATTCTATCATTTTCCTCTTAGAAGAAAGAAAGATTTGTAAGCAAAAGCCAAAAAAAATTTAATTAAAATTCACGAACCCTACTTGTTATAATCCTTACACATTGACGTTTATAAGTAACTGAAATCCTTTCGAAAATAAAGACGAGTAACCTTTTTTTCGCTTGGTAAAGTAAAGTCGTTTAAATTTTGTAAATAAATTAAAAGCAGCTTAACTCTGAGATACAAATTCAATTTCCGACAATTAGAAAATAATCATACTTTAATCTGCTTAGCATTTAAAATTCAATTATCCTTACAATAATTTTGCTTTGGAAAATTAAAGAAAAAATAAATGAAATTTATTTAAAATGTTACGGAGCAGTTACGGAGCAGTTCACGCTTATACGAATGAATTTATTGTCATTATTTCGCAATGAATTTAATTGCAAAAATCTTTCACAGGATATAACAGGATATAAAAAACTATTTACACATTTTTCGCAGCACCTCATTACAGCTCAAAAAAAAAAAAAATTGCTGAGAAAAAAATTTATTTTCGAAATAATTATTTTACTTTGCAGTATCCAATGTATTCCCGTGCCTTAGTTACTGCGTGTCAAGACAGTGATGAGGTTACTTATGGCTTACACATTTTCCTACATAATTTTATATTACATTCCATTCTGAACTTCTTTATCCTTTTGCTTGAAGTATCTTTTGATGCTTTTTCCTACTAATTTTCCGCTTGACTTTAATCCTTGCTAATAGTCCAACCAAACGTAAGAACATTTTATAATAAAAGTAAAAAAAAATACCCGAGAATAGAATAAAATAATAATAATAAAATAAAATGATATGAAATAAAATGACAAAAGCAACTAAGAATGCGCCTGACATATACCTTCATTGCCGCACACTCCTCCTTAAGCCTAAAAAATGCGCATTAGTGTCCTTTTGTCTGATTTTTATTGCTTTGCCTATTTTGAATACTAATAGTAAAAACTGAACTGAGCTGAACTGAACTGCGACTTCCTATACTTTCACCACAGACTTTGAGCTGCTTTGAGTTGCTTTCAGTTGCTTTCAGTTGCTTTCGGTTGCTTTGAGTTGTGCGTAAGACACTAAACGCATTAGCAACTTCTACTCACACCCTACGCACATATACACAAAAATATATATGAAACATAAAAATAGTAGACGTAATAAAAATATAAGAAGTCACAAAAAGGCACGAACTGAAAATTATTTTTTGCTTAATCCATACTAATACACACCACGGTTTCCCTCCATCTACTATTTGCACATCTCCCACCACTTTCGCGGCTATCTTCATACAATTTTCTTCCGTAATTCTTTTATTTCTGCTTTTACTGCTTCTAATAGCAGCAACGCATGCCAAGGCAACACGATAGTAATTATATTTTAACAGCTTTACACATACAAACATTGACACAAACTCATACATACACACTGTGTTACGCGTTCTAATAGCTTACATTTCTGCAACGTTTTCACATATGACAATTTCAATATGACTGAGCGTGTGTGTTTGTATGTGTGTGCGTTGTGTAGTGCGCCATTCTATTAACAATTACACATTTCGCTGTTGATTTTTTGTTAATTTTTTTTTCTTTTGTGATTATTATTTTTGCGCAAATTTTCTATTGAAATTCGCCCAAATGATTCCTTCCTTGCCACATCCTTTATACTTCCTAGACGTGTGTGTGCTAATTTCGTAAGTCGACTTCTTCGCTTCAGATATTCTCTAATTCAGTTTTATCTAATAACTTCATTACGTTCATAGTGCTCATCGAGTTGATTCGACTTAATTTGATAATTAGATTCTTGCAATTTAATAAGGACTCTTGCGTTTGCCTTTAAACCAATTTTAAATATAAATTTGGTTATTTTTGATCATTAAATGCGACTGCGTTATGAATTTATAGATTAAATACAAAATAACTTGAGGTATTTACTGCCTTTAGTGAAATTCATGACGTAAATAAAAACTATTAAATTTTATAAGAAATCTACATCAAAAATTGTATAAATGATTTTAATAAATTTTGTAATTAATATAATTTTTTTTGGAATTTTTTTTGATATACATATAAACTTAAAAATAAAAAACATTTTCAATTTTTTAATTGCATTAAAAGAATGTATAGATGTGAACTAATTTTATCAACCATTTGAGATTATTAATTTCTCTTTATATTCACGAACACTGAAAGTCAGCGAATGAAAAAAACTATCTGTAAGCTCTATATATATCTATATATAAGTTATATTTAAGAGTCACTTATAAAGGCAGTCATGGTCACGTCAAATTTGAAATCGTTGTTTTCAATGGAAATTAAGAAAATCAGAATAAGAGAGAGATAATAGAGAAAGAAATTTCGATTCAAATTTGAACACTTTGACGATGCTTTATGTACCCTCTTGCTCCCAATACTCACCTTTTACTTCAATGAGAGATCTTAAAACGCCTTTATCACACACCTCTTTCAGTGTAATTTTTGTGACCCTAGTCACAGAATCTACAACTAACAGGCCTCCCGCAATTACGCATTAATCTCACTTCCTCCATTTACCTTTCTTCACCGTATACCACGACTTATACTTTCTAACTTAGGTAAACCTCGTCTTTTTGATCCTAATCTTCTTATCTCAACTTCTTCCCCTCATTGTTGAAATGAAGTTTGCCACACTGCTTTCAAAATAGGATATCTTCTCCATTCATTCCTATGAAGTGGTTTTAGTGGGTTAAAGTCAATTGTGACAGGTTATATATTATTCAAGTACAATATTACTGTACTGTACTTCTAACGTAAATTGAATTTAGAACATTTTATTTCTTGAATATTTAAATAAGCAAATTAAAAATAAAATTTAAAAAAAATTGATTTTATTATAACAAAGGATGTAATCGTTAAAATTAAAGTAAAATTACTACTTTTATATTAAATATAGTTTTTTAATTACATTGGAACCACTACATCACATTTCTCTTCATTTCTCCACTATATAATCTAAGCTACTTGGAGTGTTTGAATTGAAAACTGGCATGTTAAACCTATTTATTCTTATCTACACTGTTGGACATGTGAATATTTAAGGGCGTAAGAAGCAGACAGATTAACACAACTTAGTATATCAGAGATAGCTGAAAAGTGCTGAGTGATAATTGCGCATTACACCGACTTACTAATATCGTTTCCATATGGGTCCCCGAAAATATGAACATTGATTAATTTGATAAGCAATCAAGTTAGTCCACATTAGTACTTTTCTGTATATATTACTTAGATGCTGTTTTCTTCAGCAGAAGTAAACAAACGACATTTAAGTTCAATATACCTTCTAGGCTGAACTAGACTTTGTATAACAAAATAAGATCCTCGGAAGTTAAAATGTCTGCATAAATACTGCGAGTTCACGTAATGTTCCCTCTGAAATTTGTGTAGAAGCCCACATTTCCTTTAATAATCATTCTTTTAAATGTAGTATCTAAACAAAAAAGAAACAGTCGCACATTTTCTCTATGTTTTTAGTGGAATATTTAAGGAAATACTTCTTTGAAAAGTTATTAGATTGTTCATTAGATACAACAGAATATCTGTTAAATTACATACGCTCAAGAGGATGGTTATAATTTATTTTTCTTCAAAGTTTTTGATCAAAATTTGCATATAATCTCTTTATATGAAAATTGGAAATATATCTGTTGATAAATGGATTTTAAATAAATCCTAAAAGGTTCCGTTTAAGGAACTACAACTTAATTTTTGAAAAAAATATTAATTTGCAATTTTAGTTTTACTAAAAGCTTTTGCTTCAATTTATTTTTAATTATCGCATGTTAAGCCATTGACTGTATTCTTCTATTTTGTGATTTTTTTTAATTTAATATCATATCACAAAACACTTAAAAGTTTTTATAAGGAAACCTGCCATTATAAAGTACAAAACCAAAACAAAATTTTCTAAACTACAAAAATAAATTAATTAAAAAACTATTAACTACAACAGAAACATTAACTTTTACCCACATACCACTCGTCTTCCCCTTAAAATGCATTCATTTGACAACACTAAACATATTAAGGCCAATAAATTGTATAAACTTAATAAAATGTATGCTATGGGAGAAGTGCACTCAATTTAACACTCTGTATGAGTGAGTACCTTAAATAAATTGCAATTCATTTGCTTGAAGTAAGCAAGTCAAAGTTCATTCTTTATTAGGGGAAAAGTATACCACTAGAAAATTGTTATAAAATTCATTTTACACCCCTACAATTTGACAAAAAACTTTCTAACTCAGTTACATGACTCATACTTTGGAGTGCAATTGAGTGTATAAATGTCTTGAGTGTCTGAGAGCGTTTGCGCTTAATAAAATAATAATATGACTCAAACAATTATTCGCTCATTTCGTTTGTGCGCCGCACAACTAATATCAGAAATATAGTTGCTATCTCACTTACACCATTACAACAGCATGCAAAACATTCACTTCACGGTGTTTTTCTGCTTTATTGTTATTAAACATGTGACTCGAGTGCTCGAGTGTTGAGCCGAGTGCAGCAACAACAATAACTGTGAGCAAAAATGCCGCACTATGTCAAGCATGCCATGTGACTACTGCTCAAAATAGTGCGCAGATGCCAAAACAATATTTGCACTCAACACACAAAAAAATGTTTGAGTATTAATTATACTTATACTCCAACTAATGGCTCCAAAAGCAAACAACCCCAAGTTGACAACTAAATGGAGTCTGTAGTGCTTTGCTACGCACTCATCAACGCAATCTTATCACTCGTTTTATCAGTAAGAAGGAAATTCTACTCGAACCGCATCCAAAAGACTTCCGCATATAAACCTGAGGAAGTTGCATGATAACTCCTACTCTTGTGTCACAGCTTCCAAGCTCCACACGAAACTCAAAACGCGCTACGTACGCAATAGACCAGGCCATAAACAGCTACCATAGCGAGCAGTGTGCGTACAAATTTTAAATAACAAATTAAAAAGCAACTAAAACTATACTACGAAATTTGTCAGTGCGTGTTCGTGTACTCGTGACTTCATTTTTGTTAGTGTAACGCACGACTTCAAAACTTAGATTCGTGCATTCCATATTCATATCCTGGTACTCGTTAACTTTGACTCGTTAGTGAAATTTTATCGTTTCACTTGGCTTCGTTTGCTCGCCCATTCGTGTTCGTTGCAGTGTCGTGTTTACATTTTGATTCTGATCAGGCAACGATGCTTCGTGGATGTAACTTCAGAAATCAGTCGCAGCAGTCGTCGAAAATTCCTCGTTGGCAGTTGACAACGTGTGCCATGGCCGTCCTCAGTTCAGTGCACAAAGTGCGTCAGTGCAAGTTGTACCTTGTAACAGCAACAGCAGCAGCAACAGCAATAGCAGTAGCAACATCAAAGCAAACTCAACTAACACAACAAATTACGAACGCTGCAAATTACGAAGAAATTTCCATAAGCAAATCAACAGCTACTAATTCAAATAGCCAAAGCAGTACAAAAACAACAACAACAACAACAACTGCAACAGCAACGACATCGACATCGAGAAAAAGCATTGCTGACAACGAATTTTTTGGACGGCTAACTTAGTTGCAGCACGCGCCTAAAAGCTAACAACACAAAACGGACTCATTAACGAGATAGTACACAGTAAAAGCGCCAAGGAATTATGAATTTCATTGGTATGATTAAAATTTTGTTGTTTTTGTTTTTAATTCGTAAAAAAATATTTGACAAAATTTTTTCCTAATATGGTTGATAATGAAAATTTTTTAAAATTATAAATGTTGTGAATTTTAATTAAATTAATATTATTAATGTATTTAGTTTTTTTGAATTTTAAAAATTTATTACAAATTTGGCAAAAATTAATTGAAACATTTTTAACAATTAGTTTTAAAACTGTTTTATTCCTTTTCTGTTTTTTGTTTTTTAATTTGTAAAATATTTGTAATTTTAATCTACCAATTTAATTTAATTTTCTAACTTTCCTTCAACTACTTCAACTACAATTTTTCCAAACGTTTATGTTGTAAACTGGATGTTGTGTTCTTAAACGTAACTTGATTTTTATGTAAGTTTTATATATATAAGTTTTATGCCGAAGTGCCTATAAGTATGCTTTAGTTAACATATGTTTAGTTAGTAAGTTACGTCTTATAGTGTACAACTAAACTCGTTACATTTTTCAGTGTTAAGTGAAAAATATTTAATTAATTTTAATTAATCACGCTGCAGAAAAGTGAAGTATGTAGGTCACATTTACGAAAACCGTCTATGTCTAATATTTAAAAAGACACACAAGTTCTAGTATTTAAAGCCGACATTGATATGTGCGGAAAATGAGGTGACCATTTGAATAAAATTTTTGTTTAATTTGTAAGAAATTCGTGTGATAATTGTTAAGCATAAAAATGGTTATTACAATATATACTTCTTCCGTAAATAATTGATTTTAGTGACGGAAAGAAAACTACAGTCGTCGTTAAACGGCGATAGTGCATTATCTACGCTGGCTTAATTTCTATTACACCACACCTCACCATTAAATGTTATAATATTAATAATATATAATTAATAATAATAAACACTTAATACCATAGTTGGTTTGTACATATGAATATTGAGGATATCATAGTTCAGTTCGATAGATCTTATCAGATGAGAAATCGAAAAAAAATTTCCTACCATATGTTATGTATTCTCATAGAGTTAGATACAGTATAACCAAATATGTTGGTTTGTTCAAAAAAATATATTATTATATTAACTTAATATAATAATATAAATTTTCATTTTATTCTGAAGTATTTTTATCACCTACTAATTTATCACTAACATTTATGATGAAAAGATTCATACTTAAAACTCTCAAATTATCACCTACCCAATATATCTCCATTTCTATTTAATAGAACAGCAAATACTAAATTTAATTCAATGACTATCTCTAGTACATATATCTAGTTGTAGTTATTATTGTAGAATATATGTCTACTAGACTTATCGATGTCTTGATATCGCTTAAAACAATAGCCTTGAAGATCCGCACATTATTAACAACATGAGTCGTGTATCGTAAAGACTGCCATAATTGATGTGGTGAAACCATTTTAATGATTGTCGTATTCGTGTTCTCATCTTTGAGATTTCAATTAATTGTTTTTCTAAATTAAGACTACTTTCATGAAACTACTTACATTAAAGGTTTTTAATTGCAACTACTTCTTCCTTTCCTACATGTCGTTACTGCGAGTGGTTGATAATTAATGATTCATTCATTACATGTGAATCCTTATATCATCACTGACTTCAGTTGGAATAAATACACTAACAATTTGCGTGATTACACATAGTATTGTATTGACGGGGCTAAGTAAATCCTAATTTTCGAAATCGCCATCGTAGCCTCCATTCAAAATACATGAAGACTAACTACAGTAACTAAAATTTTTGCTGTCACTTTTTGGAATGCGTCTGCTAATTTCAATAACCTCACAAAGGTACTTAATCCTTCATAAGTTAACTGTAGTTCAGTGTTATATAAAGGATAAGCAAAAATCGGGAAACTATTACAAAATATATTTCAGAGAAAATAATGTAAAGTTGTGGGAGAAGAACTTGAACACAATCTTCGATCAATACTGACGCTTGTAACTGCATTAACCACGAACTCTCTATTCTCCTACACGCATGTGCTAGTAATAGGTAGAGTTACGCAATTTCCTGATACAGCACCACTCCTGCCAAGAGTTTTGAGAGGACACAGATGTCAGGTATTATTCTTCTTGGGTATGGTAGAGTAGTGGTTTTATTACTATTATGAATCACTGTTTCTGCTAGAGCAGTAGTTTTCATATTGTACAGGAATATTTCTAGATTTCTCTGATCTCTCTATACTCTAAATAGGAGCGATATTTCATCAGAGAAATATAAAAAATTTATAAGAAACTAAACTAAAAACTTGATAAAATATTGGGCATAAAACGAGAAAGAATGCTTATATGGAAGCTATATCATCTTCCCTCACTAATTATTGCACTTCCTTACAACTTTTCTAACGTTTCTGAGGTTTGTAATATTTAGACTTTAAGACATTCATTTGTCCTACTTTGTACTGGAAGAGACAGTTTCATTTTCATTTCTTACGTATAATTAAAGCTGTTTAAAAATTTTAATATATTCATTAACCAATACAATTTTACACAAGTATAATATAAAATACTCTTTTCAATACTACATAAAGAGGAACCTAAGATATAAATATTTAATCCTATTTCCTTGGTCCATATGGCATAACATAATGATATATAAATTAGAAATACAATTCAATACCCAAAAGACACGCAATAATTTTGGCATACGTAGAACCTGGTCACCTTCTTAACTTTACCATGTGACTGTCTTTGGCGTAAACGTACATTGCGAGCAGAGCACGTTTTTCATTTTATTGATTTTCTGTAACATAAATTTTTTTCCGCCTTAAACATGAGGCACAGCAGTTTTTAATGTATTTTATTTCGACTTTGTGGCAATACCCACAAAGTCACAATTTGCGCACGAATCCAAATTGCAGCAAATGAAAAGGTTCAAGGTTCTACGTCATTGCTTGAATGGAAACGTTAAAGAGATTTTCATTTTTCTAGTATTTACTTTGCGTGCACTTATTCACAGAAAAAAAAATACAGGGAAATAAAGTAAACTTATAAGTAAAAAGAAATAAAAAAATATATAAAGAATATATATATATATATATAAATTAAATATGAACGAAATAAGAAATACTCTAAAAAGCAGGAAAAGACAAGCCACCGTAGGCTATATCAGTTACATTCTCTAGCTACAAAATTGAAAAAAAAAAAATAAATTACGCTTAAAAATGCTTGTAAAGTAGCACTTTGTTGCTACACTTTAACATGTATTTAGCTTTAAATACTTTATAACAATTATTTACTCATTTTTCGCATAAAATATAATTTAATACAATTTAATGCAAATCCTACTTAAGTAGCTTTCAAACAAAACTCTTAAGCTTAATTATGCAATCCCCTGATTTTCCTATATGCCGTATATATTTTAAACATTAAATCCAAAAATACTACTGCACAGCAGGTTTTTATTCAAACAAAATAAATAAATTTAAAATTTTTGCCAAAACTTGGTTGCATTTACTTGGCTTTGCGCCAAAAACTATGCTGCAAAAATTCATATTCCTGCTGTGGCAGCAATTTTCCACCAGCAGTTAGCCTTGTGCCACTTGTTCATTCAAACACGCATACGCACACACTCACACACACAAACACAGAGGCCTTTAAGTAAACATATATTCATATATATATATATATATATATATAAATATGTATACATATATACCATATGTATATGCAGAAGTTTGTGTGTGATGAAGTATGTGTATGTGTGCATAAATTTGGCTGTTGCGTAGGTTGAGTGACAATAAATTTATGTAAATACATTGCCTTTAAAAAGCTGAAATTTATTTCATTTGCTGAAAATCAAAAACAAAAAAGGACCCGAAACAGAATATGCCAAATATTTATATTTGTTTATGTGTTTGTTTATCAGAGATTTAAATTCATCCAAAGTGTAAACATGCAAAATAAAAACAAACATCAGCAAACATTAAAATCTTATTTGCAAATATTAAATAAATTTATATCAATATTACTCAAAAAATTTTTTTTTTCATTAATTTTGATTTTACTTCACTTCAATTTAGAACAAATTTTAAATTTTATAAGCAGAAAATAAATGATGATAGTCACTTTTGTCCTACTGAACAAAAAGGATTATTGATTATTTATTATCTGTAAAATTTTTGCATGAAGTATACTTTTTGGCGCAAAATGTTATCGTTGTTAAAATCCTCATTTTAATTTATTATATACCATTTCGTATTATAACATTAAATATATGAGGTATTTTATTTATTATCATTACCAATTTCAGTTGAAAGATTTTGTTAATTTATTAGAGTCATTCATACCTGATATTTCTGAATTTTTCTTATGAAAATAGCAATCCTCTCATAAGCTATTTAATAATAATACTATTGATAGTGTTACAATAGCCCATCCAAGTAATCACAGACATTATTGAATAAAATTGCTGTGACATTAACTCGCGTTTCATCAATCAAAGTAGAAACAAAAACTATCCAAATATTTTGCTTTTTTATATTTTCATTTCATTTATATATCATATTTTCTATATACAATTGACTTATACCTCTGCTCAGAAAGTAATTCAAAATGGATCTTATAGATAAAATTTCAGCACTATTTTTAAAGTTTTAAAGTTTTCAGCAAATTTATGAGCTATTTAAATTGAGTTAACTCTCCTCTGACCCAAAATTGATATTAAAACTACTTTGTTTATATAAGTATTCTCAGATATAACGGTCTCGCAGCTCCTAGCCAACTTTTAATAGTGACTGAATATAATAATTATGGATTGTATTTAAAATTTGTATTTGAAAAAAGAAGGCGTTTCTTTTTCAATACTTGTTCTGATATATATGTATTTCCATTATAGGTGAATTCTTTTTTATAGATTATGTATGATTCATTTTTTTATAAACGGGATGATTTTTAATCTTATCAATGCATCTGACATTTTTTATAAACCTCATTTTTTAAATAAAAAGGTGTCTTGAGAAAAAAAC